ATGTTTGTAGAAATTGCATGTTTTCATAAAACCAGTTAAAGGAAATGCTATAAATATAAAAGTTCATAAATATGCCTATTATTTATTCATTTAAGTTATAAGAGACCTTACTGTTTTCTCCTTACCCTTTCTTTTCTTTGTTCTATATATAATTGTATGAATCACAAACACACACACATATACATACACACATATAATGAAAACTCTGAAGAGCTGGCAGTTAAGATAGGGAAACTAAAAACATATTTTAAAAATGATTCTAAAGAAGGACTTAGCAAAGTTAAAATTGGAAACAACCTCATGAACTCATAAGGATCAGGAATGTGTGGATATGCACACACACATATCCCAGGCTACAAGATTTTACAAGATATTGTATGTTTGATTGGACGTTAACTTCATTCCATACACCCATGGTTTGAATTGAATAATATACAATATGTTCTGTCAATATAAATGAAGAATCACATATGCTTTTGCAGTTTCCGTGGTGCAGCGGTTATCACGTTCTCCTCACACATATGCTTTTGCCTACCTCTTTTGAGTCACATTAAAAATTCATAGCAATTTTCAAAACTATTCTATTTTTTGATGCTCAAACAACACAACTGGTCAGCTGGAACCCTGTAAGCCATCTCCTTTCTCTTTGACACTGCAAACATCTGTGATAGCGTCAAGTATCCTTGCTCTTAGCACCAACAAAGGTGTCCAGGCACATCTTGATTTCCCTGATTCCTTTCTATCAGGGAGAGATATTGAATTGGCTACTCTCTAGGAGGTTTTAGCAGAGATGAATATCAGATTCCTCCACATGACAAAACTTGGCAGGTGGGATGACCCATCAACAGGGTATCAAAGATCTAAGTTTTAAAGGTCATGAGTCCAAGACCTTGACATTGGTCTTGGCAATGATTTTTTAGATTTGACACCAAAGGAAAGACAATAAAAGCAAAAATAAACAAGTGGAACTACATCAAACTAGACAGCTTCTGTAAAGCAAAAGGAACCATCAACAAAATGAAAAGGCAACCTACTGAATGGGAGGAGATATTGGCAAATCATACCTGGTAAGGGGTTACTATCCAAAATATACAAAGAATTTACACAATTCAGTAACAAAAAAAAAAAAACAAAAAATGAGCAAAGGATATTTTAGATATAGATATTTTTCCAAAGAAGACCTACAAATGGCCAATTGAAAAGATGAGATGCTCTACATCACTCATCATCAGGGAAGTGCAAATCAAACCACAATGAGATGTCACTTCACATGTTAGTATGGCTATGAAAAAAAGACAAGAGATAACAAATGTTGGTGAGGCTATGGCAAAAAGGGAACCCTTGTGCACTGGTGAGTTGGTGGGAATGTAAATTGGTGCAGCCCCTATAGAAAACAGAACTACCATATGATCCAACAATCTCACTTCTGTGTATCTACCCAAAGGAAATGAAAAGAGAATATTGAAGAGGTAGCTGCATTCCCATGTTCATTGTAGCATTATTCACAAAAGCCAAGTTAGGGAAACATCCTGAGTGTCCATCAACAGATGAATGGATAAAGAAGATATACACGATGGAATATTATTCATCTATGAGAACGAAGGGAATCCTGCTGTTGGTGACAACATGGATGGTCATTGATGGCATGATTCTAAGTGAAATAAACCAGACAGAGAAAGACAAATACTGCATGGTATCATGTATTTGTGGATTTTAAGAAAGGTTACTCATAAAAACAGAGTAGAAAACTGGTTGCCAGGGGCTGGGGGTGAGGGAAATAGCGAAAGGTTAATAAAAAGGTTAATAAAAAGGGTCTTATAGCATTCATTCAGCTATAAGATGAATGAAGGCTGAAGATCTAATGTATAACATGGTGAATAGAGATCATATTGAATAGTTGTATTGTATAATTGAAATTGGGTAAGAGTAGAACTTAAATGTTTTCACCTCTTTCCCCTGCCAAAGAAAATGTTTGAGAGAATCAAATATATTTAATCTGTGATTGTAATTTTATTTTATTTTATTTTTTTTAAAGATTTTATTTATTTGTTTGAGAGAGAATGAGAGAGAGCACATGAGAGGGGGGAGGGTCAGAGGGAGAAGCAGACTCCCTGCCAAGCAGGGAGCCCGATGCGGGACTTGATCCAGGGATTCCAGGATCATGACCTGAGCCGAAGGCAGTCGCTTAACCAACTGAGCCACCCAGGCGCCCTGTGATTGTAATTTTAAATGTTGAATAGGGTTTATTGGTGTTAAATATTTAGAGAAACTTAAGCTGTTTGATTTATTAGCTAATTTATTAAAAAATAAGATTTGAGGCTTAAAAACTTGTTTCTAACATGTGTACTGTTAAATATTGGGTTATTTAAAACACAAGTTATTGTCTAAGTACCCTTTGAGACACAGATCCCCCTCTTTTACATACTAAAAAAAACCAAGTTAACCACACAAAATACTTGAGAGCATGTGGAGCAACAGGAACCCTCATTCATTGCTGGCAGGAATGCAAAATGGTGGTCTCTTACAAAACAACACTCTTATTGTATGCTCCAGCAATTGTGCTTCTTGGCTTTTACTCAAAGGAATTGAAAACTTATGTCCAACAAAGTCCTAAAGACAGATGTTTAGAATACCTTTATTTATAATTGTCAAAATCTGGAAGCAACCAAGATGTTCTTCAGTAGGCGATGGAAAAAAAATTGTCATACATCCAGACAAAGGAATATTATTTAATGCTAAAAAGAAATGAGCCATCAAATTATGTAAAGACCTGAAAAGATTTAAATGCATATTACTAAATGAAGGAAGCCAATCTGAAAATGCTACACACTCTATGATTCCAACTATATGGTATTCTGGAAATGGCAAAATTATGGAGACAGTATAAAGACATTATAAAAATCCATAGTTGCCAGGGCTGGATGGGGGAGAGGGATGAATAGATGGACCAAGAGGATTTTTAGGGCAGTGAAACTACTCCATATAATACTGTAATGGTAGATACATGTCATACTACATTTATCCAACCCATACAATGTATAGCACCAAGCATGAACACTAATGTAAACCAAACCCTCTGGGTGATAATGATCTATCAATGTAGTTTCATCAGTTTTAACAAATGCACCACTCTAGTTGGGGATGTTGATAATGGAGGATGCTATGTGTGTGTAGGAGGGCAGGGGACAGGAATTATATAGAATGTGTATCTTCTTCTCAATCTTCCTGTGAATTTGAAAATGGTCTTAAAAGTCTATTAAAAAATAAGTTAGCATATGTTACTGAGATTGTATCTACATGAACACATAAAGGTGCTTCTGAACTAATTACAAAGAGGTACGGCAAGTAGCATTTACTTGGGACAATAAGTAGTCAAGGATAAACAATAAACAAAACAGAGAAGAAAAAACAAACGGTTATTTGGCTATATACAACCTGATTATTTATGATGAAATCATTATGTTGGGGAACCAGATCCCTGAGGCTAGATGCTTAACAAGAAAAGGATCTTGTCAATTTTGCCCACTCTTGAGGTTCAGTGTTCCCACTGTGCCTGACCTCTGGTTTGCATTCAGATAATTTTTGTTGAATGAATAAAAGAGGGTTTCAAGGACCAGTTACTTCAAAACTACCCAAAGTCCTTTAAAAGCCAGATTCATTGGGTACCTCCTAGGTGGAACTGCGATCCCTGGGAGTATCAGAATCTGCATTCTTCACAGACACACACCAGATGCTTCTTTCACAAGCTACACGCAGCCTGAGGACCACAGAAATTCAATCTTTTCACTTTATCAGAGAGAAAAATGGAGGCTAAATAGTTTGCTCAAGGTCATATGGCTAATGACTGAGCAAAAAGTAGAGCTCAAACTGTCAGGCCCTGAAAAGTTCATCAGATTGATTACTTCCTCTAGTTTCAGTGTATGGAAAGGGAAATAATCAAACTTCTTGGCTTTTTTTTTTTTTTCCCCTTCCCCTGATAGTTGATTTGGAGTTCATTTCTCATTGCTACTTCTGTATCACTTCTACCAGCATTATTTCACCTTGTATCTTCCCAGTTTTTCACAGTGGCCGCTAACTTACTATATTTCTAATTGAAGTAAATTTTTGAAATACTTGTCAATGTCCATAGACTTCCTATGTTTTCTTATTTCACTTGAGTAAAGCTGTAAGAAGAACTTATTCTACCTAACTAGGGTCTTCCGAGACTCTTTTAACATAATTTTTCTAAGATCACTTTTCTGTGTCTCCTATGGTGGAAGTCATTCTCATCTGCCAGATGTTTAATAGTATAGAGATTGGAAGTGGCAGTCTTCACCAGTATCTTTCTCTATATAGAAAGTTTCATTCAGCATGATTTTTACAGGGCTCTTGAAAAGCTTGCTATGTTTCCCCAGTTCCCTGGGACAGGTTGGAAATACCAAATCTAGAAAAATTATTTGAACGCATTGGGGTTATTTTTCAGGGTTTGTGACTAACAAGATCTCTTTGTAGGAGAATTTAACGTTGGACGGTGCCTCATGTGGTTATTCCCTCTGAGTTGTCTCTTTCTGCTACTTGCCACATTGCATCCGAAAAGATGATTAGCAGTCAATTGATTAGGGAGTAACTTAAACATTTCTCAATATACTTAATATAAAGTAATAAATCGGGCTAATGAAATAACTAAAATCACAGTAATTTACACAGCACAATTTGATCCAGAGATGCCCATTTTATTTTAATCAGAACAAGTGGACTTAATCTCATTTTTCTATTGTTAGCATCCACAAAATATTTGGAGAGTACTTTATGTCAAAAAAAAAAAAGAAAAAAAGAAAATCTAGCCCTCTGCGGTTTTGGGCGCACGGGTAAACCTTGATGACTTCATCTGTAGTAGGACTCAACCTGGGGAATCGGAGCAACCCCAGCAGGAAGGCGGGAGAGCTGGGCGTGGGTGGTCGGCGGGCCCAGCCTTGACCTCCTGGGTCCTCAGCTCCGCCCTTGCTGCGAGGAGAAGGCACCATCGCGCCGGGGCGGAGCCGCCCTCCCCGCAGGTTGGGCCTCCTGCTCCCGGCTTGGTCGCTCCGGCCAGCACCTCCAAGCGCAGCTGGATTCAGGCTGGAGAAAGTGAGCTCTGTACCTTTCAGCCCCCGGAATCGCCGTCTCCGCACACCATGGCCCAAGTCTCGACTCTGCTTTCTTCCGTCCCGACCTAGAAGTTTCGGGTTCTGTTGACCCTCAGAGACTGAACCAAGACCCAGGTCCCGGCCCCGGAGGGGCATTCCGGAAGGAGCCCCGAGGACCTGCTGATCCCGAGGCTCGTGTGTGCAGTGCCGGGGAGTCCGGTGCGCTCGGACTCGCCTTTGTGCCCTGGGACAACCCTGCGGTCCCCAGCAGCCGCTCCGCTCCGCGTCCCCGCCCAGAGACACCGAGGCACGCAGGTATCAGCCTACGCCGGCTAAGTCCCAGCACTGTTCCAGCCGGACGCCGCGGGGACACCTCCCCACAGCCCCTCTCCTGGCTCTCGGACCCCCCAGTCCCGGCACACACACCTGCCTCCGGACCCGCCCCTGGGAGCCTCCTGCGCGGTCCTCCGCGTGCGCAGACATGAGGCCAATTAAGCCAGGCGCCCCGCTGCCCGCGCTCCTCGTGCTCGCTCTGGCTTTGTCCCTGCCCGGGGCCCAGGGGAGGCCCCGGGGTGGCAGGGGAGCACGTGCCACGGACCAAGAACCCAAGTCGTGGCTTTTCCTCCCCGCGGCCAGGGCCGGCCCGGCTCCCAACGCCTCCCGGAGCACTGGTAAGCAATCCCCTTCCCAGCCAGTCCTTTGCTCTGATGAGGGTTTTAGGAAGGCGGAATTAAGCAGAGCAGAGGACAGACCATCTCTGCAGATAACCGGTTCTCAGGAAAAGAGGTAAAGAGTTTATTAGATTTAACATTGTTGAGACTTAAGTAGCAAAACCCCCCATCTCGCAAAGGAACGGGCGTGATGTGTCCCTTCCCGGGTGAAGGTCTTTTCAGTAGGCTGGTGGAGCAGCCGAAACCTGTGGGGTTCAGCCCCAGCCGGCCCACGCATAGTGCACGGGTTCTGTACCTGTCAGCGCCTCATTCTGGGTCTTCCTGGGTTTTGAGAATTCAGTGAGCACTGCCTGAACACACAGACGCAGCCTGAACAGGCTCAGGAATGCCCCTTTGTTTTCCCCTTCAAGCTGGCCTCAGGGAATGGTTGAGGAACCCGCGATTTTGGGCAGGTTGAGGTGGCTGTTGTTCAATCGGACCTTCCCTAGGCCGGGCTCCCAAATCAGCTCTGGGCACTCAGGTCCCTGGCTACTTAGATGCGGAAGGAGGGGACTAGGGAAAAACGGAGAAAAAAACTCCAGCCAATATAGAGGTCATGAGACGCCCCAAGGTAAGGAAGTCCAGTATGATTGGGAAATGTGAAAATCCCAGGGCACAGTGAGGTCAGAGGGGGCGGACAAGAGTGCAGGGCACCCAGGGCAGGAAGGAAGGTAGTGAGCAAGGAACAGAGAAGCTGCTACCACGTGTCTCTGTTGAGAGCCTGTGCCTTACAGAGCGAGGTAGAGCCACGGCCAGGCGTGGAGCAGAAGTGACCCTGTTCGGGGCCATCAGCTTGCTGCGGGGACCAGCCCCGCTGGGCTGCCTGAGGAGGCCCAGCAGGCTCCGCCTTGCTCTCACCTCATAACTCTTTTGCCTCATACTTCACTTTTAAGAAAGCAAAGAGGGATTACTTAGTATCGCTTTTCTTTCATAATGGTTGTGATATAAATATATAGTTATTTCCTCCACAAACTTTCACTGGAGTGCCTATTATATGCCAGTCATCATGCAGAGGGCTGAGGCCACCTACTGAAGCAGGCAGCCCGCGCTCTGTCAGTATGCACTCTGGGTGTGGATGGAGGGAAGGCTGGTGCACAGGTAAACCAGAGAGGAAGCAGAGGAAGGTGTGGGCCAGGGCCTCAGAAGCTGAGGTGGGCTGTTGAGCTTCTGGTGCCCGGGGTGAGCTTTCCAAGGTGACTGGCAAGCCCAGGGCTCTCAGGAGGGGAGGTGGGGCCCTGTGGGCGACTACAGCAGTGATGGTGCCACATCCTTCATGTACGTGGACTTGAAATTATTGTGAGCCCAAATTCTTATCTCTGTCAAAAGTTCAGAAATAGCCAAAGTAAAACAAGTGAATGACCAAAACAGTAATTAGTAAAATTTTATTGGGCAAGCACCAAAAAGACAGTTTGCACACCAGGCACACTCAAACCGAAACATGGAATGAGGCTCAGGGTATATTGTAAAGCAGCCTAAGTGGTGAGAAAGCAGTGACCACTTATTCTTCACAGTGATTGGTTATAGTATTAAATTAAATGTTTGGGAATTGGTCTGTAGTTACCTAATATCCACATTGGGAAACTTTAAGTTTTGCTTATGATTTTTAGAGGCATAAGCAAGAGACGACCCAGGTCAAGTCAGCCTTGCAAAATAAGCTAAATTAAGCTTTGTTTGTATGACAAAACTGGCTTGGTCAGCTCAGAATTTTCAAGGCTGGTCTCCATTTGGTTTTGATTTCAACATCTCAGAGAAAGAAAGGTCACGTTGGAATGAAAAAGAGTAGGAGAAAGTCCCAAACTACAGAAACATTGTTAACACATTATTTAAGACCAATTTCATTTAACAGATCTTTTTTCCCTAGTCACAGATTTGCAGTGGTGTTTTTTGGTTTTCTAAGAAAGTCCTAACTACTCTTGGACGCAGGACGTTCCATCCCCCTGTGACTTGTCCCATCTGCCTTCTGTGGTTCTCATCGGGCACCACAGCAGGTACCCCTGTGCCAGCCACACAGATTCAGGCTGTTCCTGTAAGGAATGCCAGCCGGTTCTTTGCCTCTGCTACTTTGGAGCCTCCAGGAATGTGCTTCTTTCATCTCTCCAAATTCTGTCTCTCCTCCTAGGCCCTGTTACTTTGTGGTATCTTTGTAAGCAGTTATAACACTCCGCATACTGTAACTTGTAATAGTTTATATATATATAATATATATAAAATATATACATAGTTTATATCTGTATAATATAATATTATATTATCTGAATATAAGCCTCTTGCAGTTGGAACTGAGGATTACTCCGTTTTTAATGCCCTGTAGCCTATCAAAGTCACTGGACACAGTTGACATTTAAGAGGAATTTTTTTCTTTGGAACTGAAATTTTGAAAAGAAAAAATTTTAAATCAGCTTTAAAAGAATTGTTCTTTTATTTGCCCTCAAAGCCTGATTAGATCTTATGACTTAATCTGTGTCATTTCTGAGTCATGAGCTCATTTCTTAGCATTTATGACCAAGTTTAGACAACACGACATCTGCTGCCCTTAATACCTTCTAGGGCAGTGGTTCTTAGAATGAGGCCATACATCTCGGAAGCAACTGGGAGGCAAGTTTTGAATGTAATTATTGTATTCACCCTGGATATCCTAAATCTCTGAGTATAGCCCGTGCCTGTGCATCAAAAAGCTCTTGGGAGATTCTTGTGTACATTGAGTTTTTGGAATCACCAGAGATTTTTAATTGAGGAGGGTGGGGAGGAGAAAAGTAGTATATAAGAATCTTCTGGAAAGTTTCTTTGAGACAGAGACAGTTCCTGACTGGCCTCCACAACCCTGACCACACTTCTCTTTCCATAGCTCTCTACCCACTCCTTCATTCCCACATGTACCCACAGCACCATAGCTACATTTCCCCGCGTGTTTGAGTGATAATCTGTGAAAAAAAGGCTTCCTTGGTCTGCCAGCCTCAGGGACATGGCCATTAGGTCTCTTGTTAGAGAAGCACTATACAAGAACTCTGAAGACCTGTGGTATGAGGAGCTTTATGTAAACCAGTATTAGCCAAACTTTCTCTCCCCATCCCTTCTTTGTTTTTCTTTCTTCCTCTCTCTCTTACTTTCTCTCTTCCTCCCTTTCTTTTTTTCCCCTTCCTCCCTCTTTCTCTTTCTTTTAAAATCTAACATTTATTTGCATCTCACAGTACTGGTTTTGAAGGAGTCCACTCTGGGTAACATTGTTTTGGCCACTGCATGCACCCAGCTTTACCTCAGCACCTGGGGGACACAAGGGGAAAGCCCAGGACAGAGTAAGTGACAACAGAAACAAGGAAAGGTGACTTGAGGGCAGAGCAGTGGGGAGCGGCCACTTATCAGAATGCTAGTCTTCCCCAAGACACAACAATATTGGAATTAGGTCAATTAATAACCCTACAGTGGCTTGTAAGTGGTCAAGTGAAAGGAAGAGTCACAGGTCTCTCACTTTAAATTGAAAGTCAGAAATGATTAAGCTTAATGAGGAAGACACATCAGAAGCTGAGATAAGCCAAAAGCTAGGCCTCTTGAAGCAGTTATCCAAGATGTGAATGCAAAAGAAAGGGGCACTGGGAGCCACTGGGTGGCTCAGTCGGTTAAGCATCTGCCTTTGGCTCCCGTCATGATCCCAGGGTCCTGGGATCGAGCCCCACGTCAGGCGCTCTGCTCAGCGGGGAGCCTGTTTGTTCCTCTCCCTGTAGCTCTGCCTGCTTGTGCACTCTCTCTCTATCAAATAAATAAATAAATAAATAAATAAATAAATAATAATAAATAAATAATGCAAAGGAAAAGTTCTTGAAGGAAATTAAAAGTGCCACTCCAGTGAACACACGAATGATAAGAAAGCAAAACAGCCTTATTGCTCATATGGATAAAGTTTTAATGATCTGGATAGAAAATCACACCAGGCACAACACTCCCAGGCCAATGCCTAATCCAGAGCAGAGCCCTAACTCTCTTCAATTCTGTGGAGGCTGAGAGAGGTGAAGAAGCTGCAGAAGAAAAGTCGGAAGCTAGCAGAGGTGGGTTCATGAGATCTAAGGGAAGAAGCCATCTGCATAACATCAAAGTGTGAGGTGAGGCAGCAAGTACTGATACAGAAGCTAAGCCAGTTCTCCAGAAGATCTAGCTCAGATCCCTGATGAAGGTGCCTATACTAAACAACAGATTTTTAGGGTAGATGAAATAGCCTTCAATTGGAAGAAGATGCCATCTAGGACTTCCATAGCTAGAGGAAAGTCAATTCCTGGCATAAAGCTTCAAAGGACAGGTCGACTCTCTTGTTAGGGGCTAATGCAGCTGGTGACTTTAAATTGAAGCCAGTGCTCCTTTACCACTGTGAAAGTCCTGGGGCCCTTAAGAATTATGCTGCGCTGTAGAAATGGAACAACAAAGCCCAGATGACAGCACAGCTGTTTGCAACATGTTTACTGAGTATTTTAAGCCCATTACTGAGATCTTCTTACTGCTCAGAAAACAGATTCCTTTCAAAATGTTACTGCTCATTGGCAGTGTACCTGAGCTCTGGTGAAGATGTACAGTGAGATTCATGTTAGCATGCCTGCAGCCCATGGATCAAGGAATAATTTTGACTTTCAAGTCTTATTATTTAAGAAATACATTTCATAAAGCTACAGCTGCCAGACAGTAAATTTGAAACCTTCTGGAAAGGATTGGCCTTCCAGATGCCATTAAAAACAATCATGATTCATGGGAAGAGGATAAAATACCAACATGAATAAGAGTTTGGAAGAAGTTGGTTCCAACCCTCATGCGTGATATTGAGAGGTTCAAGACTTCAGTGGAGGAAGTAACTGCAGATATGGTGGAAATAGCAAGAGAAGTGGGTCTGAAGATGTGATTAAATTGCTGCAATCTCATGATAAAACTCTTACAGATGAGGAGTTGATTCCTATGGATGAGCACAGAAAGTGGTTTCTTGA